AAAACTTAAAAAACGTCAAAAAAAAAACAATAAAATGTCATCTTGCAGACTAGGTAGTTTTTAGGGTGCCAACAGTCATTCCACGTTTCATCACTAGGATCGTTGTGAGCGTCCATCTATGGAGGAATGATTCAACTAAACTACATGCATTGTTGGTTGTATATGTTTTGTGAAGCCGAGTGGTCTGTACTTTTCATCTCCGAGAAGAAAGTTGGTTGAATAGCAAGATCGCATCTGGACGATTATATGTATTGGTCTGCATGTTTCTAAAATCAGTGATATTTGCTGTGTGAGAAAATTATTACTGAATATGCTGCCGAAGAAGTACATCTATAAGCTGTGCCCGACGGGTTATTTATCTGTTGTGCTCTCTTAAGAGATGTTATGTTCAAAGTTATAGATTACGAAGAGCTTTCTGGAGAATTACGGGAAATCACCACCGCACCCGCGTTGTGTGTAATTACAGTTAGCATGTATATGGCTTGTAATTCGACAGTGTACAGTGAATATAATTATTTCTTACCTCATTTTTGAAATTCAGCAATATGTAATTTCTAGAATCGACAAGAAAAAGTGGATGCGCAACTAATTTCTAGCTTTGAATGTCAATTGAGTGTATTTGAGAGAATAATCCAATGGAAATATCATCAACACATACAACGTAGAGCTTAGACCTCCAGTAATGCCACCTCTGAAGCAGATTTGACATCATCAGGGCCAAATATTGATAGCTGATGCCTCATGACGTTTAGGCAATACGTACAACTACAAAACGAGTTTACAGCATGTCTATCAGCTAGTGCTAAGTTAACATCTTGTAGAAAAACCGACATAATGTCAAAAAAAATCGACATACTGTCACTTTTCAAGATACGTAATACTCATGCCGGTAGTGCCCTGTACTACACCGTGGACTAGCTAAAATCCTTTTTGTTTTATTTTCTTGTCACATACTTGTCACCGTTGCTTTAACATAATCTGTTCGGAACGATTAAATAAGACTAATTTTATGATATAGAAAATTGAAGAACTTGGCGAGATGTGATCACAGATGAATTAAAAGTAAAAGAAAGATTGTATACAAAAAAGTTCGACCAGTGTGCGGGGGTGCAAGTAGTATGCGGTCTGCAGTTTGTTTCGAGACATCTTGTTTCGATACAAAATGTTTCAATCTGTCATCAGAATCATTAAGACCTTTGTAGTGATCAACGTTCAAAAAATAAATAGTGAAATTCTCAACAATTTCTACAAAATAATTCTCACTTCTTTGAGGCTAAGTTATCATTTTTGACGAGCTGTCTCCCCTGCAGTTTATCTGTGCACATATAGATTTATGCCCTTGAATTACAATATCCCTCTATTAAACGAAAAAACCTTTTGCCGCCTCTCATCAAAAATTCAAAAAACAGATTTAAACATAGCCTATGATTTTGATATTCTACCTATTGAAACTGATTTTAAATGGAGGTGTTATAATAATCTGTTGTCATGGAAACATACTAGTATTAATTGCATGTGGTTGATGAACACGCATATCCTGAATTCAGGGCACGCTTGATATGTTTGCGTTTCACTCAATCCAATGTAGTTACACACCACTGAAATGTAAATTGTGGAATCTCGACAAAAGTGTAAAAATCGTGAGATGAATCTGAATAATAATCGATAATTTTATCGAGCACGAGAAAAAAAAATACCATCGTTCTTCTTGGTCACATAAGTTCAAAGATACCTATCGTGCAGATGACATCTAGGGATAAAAAAGATCCATCTTGACAACCTACTTTTGAACGTTAATTGAGAATTTATCACTCTAAGTTCCAGAGGTAAATAATTATACGGTTTTGAGCAAAGATATATCTACGAACGTAGCATAAAGGAGTTTACTGGCCTGGATATGATATTATAGAACAATGTCCTCTGGCAAGTGCCATACTTATGAACAATCTTCCTGTGAGAGCTTTAATATTTATAATATCATGATATTGTGAACAAATAGCTGTCTCTTATCTAAACGCTTAGACTCTTGAAACAGGCTGTTTGAGGGATTATAATCTAAACTTTTTGAGGGTGATATTGATTAAATGTTTTTGGAGGGCATCCAGCCTCTTTAAATACCTTGTTGCTTCTCCTCCTCATCCGATAATTCCATAAGGCAGACTCAATTGTACAAGAGCATGATAAATAGTTTCCATGATGTTTATGTCCAAAATACCTGCACACTTTTTAAATGTTGGTAACAGTGATTGGATATTTTCCACAACATATTTAATTTGCGCACCTCACTACATATATGTGACTTGAAAAATGGCAAGGCTCCTGGAAGCGATAAAACATAAAAGCTGAAACTCTGAAAAAAATACGATATTATATATGCAAGCCTTTAAAATATATAATAAATGAATGTTTTCGTACAGGAGTATTTCCCGATATTTTAAAGTTAGCCACAATAACATCTATCTACAAAAAAGGTAGCAAACTTGATATAGAAAATTATAGACCAATATCCCTGATTTCGAGTATCGCCAAAGTTGTAGAAAAAATAATCAAGTCAAGGTTACTAAAGTTTTTCAATAGGTATAACGTGTTACATAAAAATCAATTTGGATTTAAAGAAGGCATATCAACGCAAGATGCAATAGCTACACTATCCAAAAAACTGTACAGACTAGTTAACGATAAGATCCCTGCCATTTGTATATTTATAGACTTAACCAAAGCTTTCGACACCATTAGTCATGACAAGCTGTTGGAAATACTCGAGCTTAGCGGTATAAGGGGAACTACTTTAGACTTAATGTCGAGCTACCTAAATAACAGAAAGCAGTGTGTCAAAATAGATAACGTGACCAGTCATTATAAAGACGTATGCTATGGGACCCACAAGGAACTGTTCTTGGGCCAATATTATTTAATATATATATGTATTAATGATTTGTTCTCAATGGATTCGGGAGGTACAGTGTTAGGATTCGCAGACGATACTGTCATAATTTATGAAGACTCAAGTTGGCCCGCACTTAAAAATAAATTCGAAAATATTCTCACCAACGTACTAGCATATTTCAACACTAAGCTACTCACAGTTAACTCTGAGAAAACAAGTTTTGTACCTTTCGCATCCTATAGAAACCATATGCCACAATATAACGAAATAAATGTCAGAATAGGAAACTATACGACAACCATTAAACGTCAAAGCAGCACTAAATATCTGGGAATATATATTGATCAAAATCTCAGATGGGATGTTCAAATCGAATATGTGACAAAGAAAATAAGATGCCTCATTCCAAAATTCAAATGTCTTAGAAACATCCTTAATACAGATTGCATGAGAATCTTATACTTCGCACTTGTGCAGTCACATCTTTGCTATCGAATACTTGGCTGGGGAGGAGCTGACTTCACTTACATAAAGAACTTGGAGATTGCCCAAAAATATTTATTAAAAATTCTTTATAGCAAGAGCAAAACTCATCCATCTGATGAGCTATACCATGAGTCTGGAATTATGGACATTAGGCAAACCTTTATTTATAATTGCATGGTATACTACTTTAAAAATAAATCATTTCATGAGGAAATCGCTCACAAATATGACACTCGCCAGAAAGTTGCTAGGCACATAATGGTACCTAGGCCGGAAAAGTCATTATTGCAACGCTCCTGGATTTATCTCTGCCCCAAATTGTACAACGAAATGCCTGCTGATTATAAGTTAATACGAAACATTGCTTTATTCAAGAAAAAAATCTCAGTCTGGGTGAAAGGTATATCCAGGAGCATAATACATGATTATATAGAAGGCAAAACACTATATATATATGTCACTCTCACAACCCAAATGAAGTCACCGTTTTTAGAATAATTGCTCCATTCTATTAATTTATTATTTTATCATATTTTATTGTACGTTATTATATTTTATTAGATTTTATTATGTTTTACTGTAGTCACTTATATGCTTATACCGTATCTCATGTATGATGGGCATTTAATTTTATTCTATTCTATGCTTGATATATCCTTGTCTTTATTGCTCACAACACAAATGCAACTACCAGTTTTGTAATGTCATTTTAGTTTTTATTGTCCTTTATCTTAGATGTACTCTTTTTTGGATTAGCCTTTTGATTTATGTTATTTATTATTGAATTTAGTTAAAGTGCCACAATGTCAGTTCAAGGTTTTCGCATTTCTACCAGTGATCGTGTAACACCAAATTATGTCAGTGCGTGCGTAAGAAGTGCATAGTGCATTAGCAAGTACTTGATAGACTTTATTTATATCTGCGGATAGACAACTGAAAATAATGGAATAGCCACATACAAGATTTTTCTTTCGTGGCATTACTTTTATTTGTCATTGATACTCCTTTGTGGCAACAGTCTTTGAAAATTTATATTTGCATAATTGAATTTGACAAATAAATTATTATTATATTATTAAATTATTAGATATGTAGTGCCAGTCTCCCGCCCAATATACAGGGTGTTAGGGAAATAATATTCGTAGCGTTAATAGGGGATTCCTTGCATTATTCTAAGCAAAAAAGTTCATTATAACTTATGTCCGAAAATCAATCGTTTTCGAGGAAAGTGATTCGTGAATAATTAAATTTTTTCAAACATTTGGCAACGCTGCAACACAACCGCGATATGAACGCACGACGACCGCAACTGATTCTTCGGATTTTTTGCGTTTGTATGATCTTTTGTTGAAAATAGGCCTTGAATTATTGAATACTTTCTACGCAAATGTTTGTGATTAATACTTTTTATTTAACCCGTAACCACAGACGGCCAATAAATTGAACATTACCACAGAGGTGGCGTCAAAATGACTCCTATAATGAAGGCCATGGAAAACATATTTGGAAAATAAAAACAAGTTTACCTCTATGTTATATCACTTAAATAGTGTCTCTTTTAATATCGTTTTTAATAAAAAAAAATCCTCAGTAAAAAGCAACCAGATTTTAAAGAAATGTATTTATTGCACACAATTTTCGTGAATATTTACAATAACATTTTTGGTAACTTTCTAACATAAAAAAATTAACTTGCTAGGTAGTTTTCATACAAAACTCGTTAAAAACATGAAAAAGAATACTTATAACGATTAGAAATTAACGTGAATGTAATATTCTGGAAACGTGCAGTAGGTTTTCCAAAGTAATTTTTTCATTTTGCACAGTTCACGCAAACCATTTGAAATGGTTTTTTTCCATAGAAATAGTTTCTTGTAGAAACGCGGTTCGATGTTTCATCTTCTTCAGTAGAAAGTCTTTCGCAATCTCTGTCCATTCTTGTTCCGGACGCTCTCATTATCACTGTAAATGAATTCGGCATCTGAATCAATACCACTGCCGTTTTCATTTTCCTCATCCACCTCAGCAGCCCATTTCAGCAAAGTTTCTTCGTAGTCCGAATCGCCATATCTAACTATTTTTGAGGGACCAGCTTTGCTATCAAAATCCATCCTAAAAACCTAAACTAAGCCGAGCATGTTCATGAAATACAGAAATTAGAATATAACATTATCACAGACCTGTAGTCCTTTTGACTCCGTCGGAAATTCAAGTCGTAATGAAATGTAAATAACGTACACAATCAACGCAACTGTCTCAGTGCTAGTTCAATACTACTCGATGAAAAGGTACCTCTAGGCCTGGACAGATAGACTGAGGAGAAAACTGGAAATCCCCCTCCACATACTAGCAAGGAGTCAAATTGACTCCACGTCTGTGGCTACGGGTTAATAACGCTTTCAGTACAGTACATTTACTTAAAAAGATGACAGAACTTACCGGTACGTGGCGATACACACCACCAATTCCCACGATTATCAGTCACTTATTTGAAACGATGCGATGCACGAAAAAATAAAAAAAAAAACATCCGTATATCACATAAAGTTACAGTTAAATGTATTAGTAATCACAATACATGTTCTTCGGTTTCCACTCCAACTTCACAATGTCTTCCGCGATTGTTAAAATTAGGCACTACACTCCCTGTGTACAGAAGTCTTTGGGATACTACTACGAATGTTCTTCTAGCTGGTAGCATTCGATCAGGAAAACGTTCTTCTTAAATGCGCCTAGCCTTTTCAGAATTGCAATGAGCCTCTCCGTAAATAATAAGCATCTCGTGATACTCGCGTACCGAAAACATCTCTTTCCTAACAAAATGCACGCACTGATACAGTAATACATACTGACTAATAAAATGTGATTTCAATTCGGGTGAACATTACTTGCATTAACGTATGCAAGAAACTATCAAATAATTTTTTCCCGATGTAGGTATTTATTTTTTTGCCTACCGACACGATGTCGGTCGCGATGATACATGCAGTGCAGGCGGAGTACGACATTGCCAGTTGTGTCAGGGATTTTGTTTGTTTTTCTTCGGAAAATTGTATTTAATAAGTAAGGAAATTAATCTGTTAGAGACAGTTAATTAATAAATAGATGTATTGATACATTTTACGCTATTAGGCATATGAATTTAAATTATTAAGGTGCATACGTATAATTAATGTTTTTCATGACTAAAAAGAAATAAGTTCTGCATTTTTTTGCTCCGAAACGGTTGATTTTCAGACATAGGTTATAATGAACTTTTTTGCTTAGAATAATGCAAGGAATCACCTCTTAAAGTTACGAATATTATTTCCACAACACTCAACCTACTATATGCTGCTACGTAATTCTTAGTTGAAGTTTGACCATGCACCCAAATACCAACTTTATATTCACTAACTACAAAAATAACGTTACACGCGAATACAGAATCCACTTTGCCTTGTCTATTTCGCCTTAAATCATTTCATAATTTCTTGTTTCCTACCAAACCCATAGTCCCCAATCCTCCTTATTTGCTTAACTGATAAAGTCCTTCAAACATATATGATGCTAATTGTTTTAAAATCTATTCATACAGAGAGTATAAAAATGGAATTATACGGACAACTCCCTGTAAAATCATTTTGTTGTCTGGTAATCTAATAAGCAGATGCGATTTTCTACAACGGATTACAGTTTATGTATGTCGATGTATGAGCTGATTCATGGTTTAGGTGTCAAACGGCAAATTCAATAAACCTATCATCCTTGGCTTTTCCCTTTTTATATATACTTAAACATACTAAAACATATGATTTGTTAATAAGTCATTTTTTAAACGTAATTTGCAATAATAAGCAATACAATTATGTTTGATGATTCCTTTGTTTTAATTCTATATCACTTACCCCATTTTCTGCTAACAGCAACATAATCCAAAATAGTTTTCCGGGCTTTATTCATTATTATTAAGCTTTGGGGATTATTCGAAATTTCAATATTTTCAAACTCAAGTACCATATGAGCCCAAAAAAGTAATTTATACTAAGTGACATATAAATCCGAACACCCAGTTTAAATGGTTTTATTTTAATAAAATTTTGTATAAGTACTTAATGAAGCATAATAAGTAAATGATAAAAATTTCAAAATGATTGCATTGCTTTAAAGCCCTTTGACCTTTAATAATGTGCGGCCGCCACCGCTCTGGTTTGCGCCCCACATGAATCTAGTAAAACGTGTTTGTAGCGTTTTGTTTTTGTATGCAAATGAACTCTTTTAAATAAAAGGGCTGTTAGCAAGTACAACGTGAACCTGACTACCTGATATTGACGGATCCGTAGGAATTATGTGTCCTGTGCCGATATAGAGAATTTTGAGATACTATCAGGTAATCAGCTGTCATTCTACAATGATGGATACTCGTGAAATAGGCTATAGAGATGCACTTGTCTAAACGAAGAATCTATGCACATGATTTTTTTTTGTCAAATGTGACCACACTCAAAATTCAGTGGCCTTACAAATGAGCTGAATTAAAATATTTTTTTAACAATTTTAACGAAACACTGATAACAACATGATCTCAAATTATAAGAACGCTTTGTCTTAAGGCGCGAAGTTCTTAATTATGTGAAAAGTAATGTGTTTTGGGTGACTTATGGTTTTTTGGAAAACAGTATGTTAACAATAACTAAACGTTCATGTTCTAATAAAAAGAAAATACGGGGTGTAAATGTTATGATAGTCATTATTTAGGTGGGTGATAGACGGGGTTAAAAGACGCAAAAAGTTTCATATAACATGGGGGTCAAGACGGTATTTTTTAGAGAAAAGCGACTTTAAAGTAAAATAAAATCTGACAACTCCGCAATGCCAAATGCAAATTACGACGGAACGCAGTATAAATAAAGATGGAGTTTGTTATTTTTGGCTCTTAGGTATTATTTCATTATTTGATAATATACTCGTAAAATGCAAACAATTTAAAAAAAAACGGACTTAACACTGTCTCAGCGCTTCACCTGGTGTGTGAAAGTTTATTGAGCGTATTAAAAAAATCCACTATAAATAGGAAACACAATTTTGATACATGCATTGTTTTTCTTTTTAAAACCCACACTGCACTTCTTTGTATTTAAAGAAGGTGTTAAAAATGTTGTCCTCCACTTTCCACACAAGCTTCATTACGACGAACTCATTATCTTCTTACTCTAGGTCCATTCATTATTTCAGCTGCTTTCAAATTTTTTTCGCGAAGTTGCGCTTCAGTTATTATTGGACCAGCCCTATAAACCATCCTTTACGTTCTCCCCAATACCAGAAATCCATCGGATTGAGGTCAGGAGATCTTGCTGGCCATTTTCGAGGATCATGAGCATTTTGACCGATCCAGTGATTTGGATAATGGTTATTCAAATACTGAATGACGCCTCTAAAAATGTGTGGTGGTGCCCCGTCATGCAGATACCACAAATTCTGTCTCCGTTGTAATGGCATGTTGTCTAAGGTCTGTTCCAAAAGTTCTGGTAGGTTATTGGCTAGGAGACCATAAAGGCATTCTACAGTGAATTGTAGGAACGACTGACGATACGACCCTAAGTCTCAAGACATTTCATCTTTAGAGGACATCATTCAAAGATATAAATACTAAAATTTGACATATATAGGTAAGTTTTTCTTGGATGATCGCCAATTTGAACAAATTGATAGTTGGATTTCACGTTAAGGTATTGTTGGAAAACGATAGAGATTTTCAGTGGTGAGGGCTCCTCTCGTGGAAAAGACGATACTATTTACAATTCATGAAATGTCTTGGTTGTTAAGTTTCTAATTGCGATAACTCATGCAAATAAGCTCCAGTCATATATATTGATTAGCAGCTTTTGCGTTTCAAGTTCCTGCCCTTAAATTCAGCTGCGTGGCGCTTAATTGTATTGGATTGTGTGGTCAAAGCTGCCTGCAATTATATCCTCCAGCTCTCCCTCTCCTTCCTGCAACCTTCAACCCTGATTCTGCTGACGGGAAAAACAGCTCTGATTGCTGCTTCATTACCGGTCATTGGAAAGAATCTGAAGGCCCAATGATCGGACATAACATTGAAGCATGGGTGGTATAGTAATGATAATCTTTATTCCAACGGGGTACACCCAATCACAGGAACATTAGGACTGATATAGCCAAGACATCAAACATATACAGGGTGTCCCGAAATTGATGGATAATCCTGCAACTGTAGATAGTACATGTCATGGCCTACTAGAAGGTAAAAGTTTGTTTTAGTTAGTTTGTCTTACAGCTTTCGAGATTTCGAAATTCATTTTTTTAATCTGGCTTACATTCAGTTTATCCTGTGCCATTCCTAAAAATATCAACTTTTTTGAGCCATGATTATTTTAAACGGCCCAGAATTAAGCATTTCATCTTGGCCATTATTATTTTTCTTTGAGGTGGCGAAATCCCCACATAAAAATAATGCCAAAATCTGAATTTTTATTAAAACCCCACTCTTACGTCTGACTTTGACACCCTGTAGAGTGAGAGGATCAAGTACGATCACTGTGCCAATTAGTCAGAAAAATAGGCCAACTATTGGCAATTTTTGAGTAGTATTGCTATACGTCCTCTGCTTTGTTTATCGGTTTATTGCGGTTATAATGGAGGAGGGTCAGTTTTCGTAGATATCAGAAAATGACAATTCATGGATTGGATACACCAGCATTGACTGTGATTCATGGCCTACATTTTATCATATAATATTTTTTTAACCATAACAATTACAAAAAATTCCACATTCATCTTTGATCAGGCTGTGCGGCTTATTTCATTGCCACCAAGATGGTTGGACCGCAATCCACTTCTTTTTTTATCGGAGCTGCTTTAGAGCCGTTTCAGATATAGTCGACGTCAGCACCTATGCTATCGCGTTTTCACATGCTGCGTATGATCAGTTATTCAATATGTATACTAAGTGACATATAAATCCGAACACCCAGTTTAAATGGTTTTATTTTAATAAAACTTTGTGTAATAAGTACTTAATGAAGCATAATAAGTAAATGATAAAAATTTCAAAATGATTGCACTGCGTTAAAGCCCTTTGACCTTTAATAATGTGTGGATGCACCTTGATGTGCTACGCATTCTCCAACGCGCCTAGGCATGCTTCTGATCAGGTGGTCAATGTCCTCCTGTGGTATCTCATTCCAGGCAACCACCAACTCCTCTCGAAGTGCTTCTAGAGTCTGAGGAGGACGTTGCAAATTGAGCAATCTCCTACCCATCATATCCCACACGTGCTGAATTGGGGATAAGTCGGGAGATCTTGGTGGCCATGGTAACAGTGTGACATCATTATGTTGAAAGAAGTCTATTGTGACTCTTGCAACATGTGGTCGGTCATTATCTTGTTGGAAAGTTGGATCTGCCAGGGTGCCAAGATAGGGTAAAAGATGGGGTTCTAGAACTTCGTGGATATAACGCTGCGCGTTCATGTTACCTCTGATGAAGATTAAAGGTGACCTGGAACCATAAGCAATAGCACCCCAAACCATAACTCCAACAGTGTGATGAACATGTCTTTCAACAAAAAACTGTGGATTCCTCCTTTCACCACGTCGCCTTCTAACCCTGGCACGACCATCGTGCATGCCTAAACAAAATCGAGACTCGTCACTAAAGACAATACTGTTCCATTCCTGATCCCAGAGTGACCGTTGTCTG